ACACTTGGGTTTACAGTGTACAGCTTAAACTGTTCTGGTGACAAACTAATCCAATCAACTTCATAATCGTTGACCTCGTGGGGTCTATAGCTTCCTTCTTCGCAATGAACCCCTCCCGTTAGTCATGTCGTTGTACTTGTCCCTTCCCTCTCACTCTCCTTTGCCGAGGTCACTAGACCGGCTATCCGGCGGACTTTGTGAGTGACTCACCCACAGTATGCAAGCACCGAAGACAAGAAAAAATGTAGGGTGTCGACTTGAAGCGACACTTGGTCACACTCGATTTGTTCATATCCTCCTATTGAACTTAACTTCAACTGACGCTGGAATTTCGTATATCTTATAAAACTGATATTACAACTGTTCCGAGAGCTAACTTTCACTTACCAGGAAATTTCCACTAAAAGATAGATTTTGGGAATTAGTAGGGGAAAAAAATTATTTTACATGCCAGTTACACCTTACCTTCTGTATTGATAATAGTAATCAACCAAACAAAACAAGCGCCGGTCTGTTCACAAGGTTTACAAACATTTGACCCATACCAAATGTGATCAAAATTTTGAGTTCATGAAGTGTACGAAAAAGCAAGGGATGACTACCTTAAGTAACTCCTATAGAGGAAAACTGCAGACACGATATTTAAGAATTCTTTTCACCCTACTCTGTTCCTTTAACCATGCCGGATAATACTTGAAGGAGGTAGAGTTTCCTTCCTTCAGTGGATGATATAACCTACTCTTTAATGCAGATATTCTGCTTAGACAAGCGTTTATACTAACTATGAGTTGTCGTGGCTATTTTAAACTACTTGCCCGTTGCTGAAGACATCATTTCACATAGCTACCTCGGGTTTTTTTTAAGTATATCTTAAAATAATGCAGTATAGATATCCCGTCGCAACCTACCAGGGTGGATCTGGGGAACCAGGGGATCGTCCCTCAAGCCCTTTTTTCTAGTAATGAGAGAAAGGCGAATTTTTAGGTGTGTTTCAATTCCCTTTCTACGTTTGGCGCGGACGCGGTGAATGCACGCAACCAAATTGTGTGTCGCGATTAATAATGTCTGTCCCCGGTCTTGTTATGTTCGCGTGTTCTAAGCGAAAGTAAACGACTATTTTAAGACTACGCATAAGTTGATATGGCTATAAAAGTGCGATTCAATTCACAGTGAGGGTTTGACCATAAAAGTAAGGGTTATTGCTGGGTGAAACTTTGAAATGTGTTTGGAATTATTTTTAAAATGTGATTTTTAAAGCGTAGCTGTTTTAAACTAAAAGAAACTGCTCAAAACCACCGTTCGTACCCTTTTTTACTTATTTAGTTGAGTTGAATTAGTAGTTCTGTCTCATGGACATTTTAAGTGACGTTAAATCTCTCTTGAAGTTGGAAAATGGCGTCCAAAAAATCATCATCGATCAAACTCATGCTAGACCCGTGCACATTCGCACCAACTGATTGTGCCTCAAAAGTGACACAGGAATTTAAAAAATGACAATAATAAGTGTATTCTCTAGCCACTGGCTTCCAGAGGCTGACGTGTACTTCTCGGCCGTAACTGGGACTTGCACTCATGAATACAGCTTATCAGAGTGCAAACAAGTAGCAGACTGTTCTGTACACTTTCATGCATGAACAAATATTTTGCAACTTAATATGTAACGAGGAATTTTCTGACAGTATAATATAAAATGTTCTAAGTAATTTTTGTGTTTGCCACGCCATTGTTTTTTCAGTTACATGTATATATCACTATTAGTCTCTGTAATTTGAGGTGGAAAAGGAGCTGAGGGGAATGGGGAGGGGATAAATTTACTAGACATCAACAATATACATGTACAGTTGTGACTGTATCCCTGTCCTGGTTTACTTTCATGCAGCTTCCCATAACGCACTGCCTTGTCATGGCATAAGACTTTGGAGATGCTCAGTAACTGCAAACATACAGGTCCCACGTGACAGGTCCACTTTTCTTTACGTCCTTTTGAGCATGCATTTTTTGTTCATACGAGACGTGAATATTAGTTAACTGGTTGGGAGCAGTATTTGCCACCAAGCGTCTCTGAAGTCTCCCGACAGTGTTGCTTATTTGTATGTATCTATCAAGTTGTCGTCATCCATCAGCTATGAAGCCCCATTGGTATCACTTTCCCTTTGTGATGTGAGTTTCGTAAGGAGGCATTTGTCTTTCATTGCTGAAGCAAGATAATAAGTTGCTGAAGCAAGATAATAAGTTGCTGAAGCTTTGGCAACTTATTATCTTGCTTCGGCAACTTATTATCTTGCTTTGGCTACTTAATGAAAGACAAATGCCTCCTCACGAAACACACATCGCAAAAGGAAAGTGACACCAATGGGGCTTCATAGTCAACTGCAATACATGCACAGTGTAAAAGAATAACTTCGACTGGTACCCTGTCAGCTGAAGATTGCATGTCTGTGGGAGAGAAGTAATAACGTTTTCATGGTCAGACAACCAGTAAAAATAATTGGATTTTTTTTTACTTTTTTAATCATAATGACCAAAGTTCTACTGTACGTTTACGATTGCTGTCTGTTACTTTTCCAGCTTATTCTCATACTAGTTGTGAGAGCAACTATAATAGGATCTGGAGCAAGGACATAAGCGGTGGAGCTAGGAGGATCCAATAGCAGCACCATTATATTATTTCTGGACTTGTAAAATCTTGTGTATGACTTCATTTATTGTTTTTAAGTTGGCTGCAGAATTTTCTGAAGATTGTAAGAAGATTGTGACAAATATTTGAATAAAAATATCAAAGCTCTTTTGCTTGAAATCAGATCACGATTTAAATGTGGTCAACCAAGACTGCAGGGTTAAAGGATTTCCAGTTTCTAATCCTATTGCTTCTATTCCACTCTGGCAACATGACACATATTTGGCTCCGTCAAAGGTGATGTACATAGCCTTTGTGCATCAAATGCCTATTGTGATCGGGCTGTCAAGTTCACATATGTGTATTACATCTAGCCTTTTATATTGCTTTGGTGGTCAACTCTTCTGGTTTTTTTACAATAAAGAGTACAGACACTGAGGTACCTATGGGTAACAAGCCTTCTTTTTTTACTTATTGTGCAGAGAGATCTGCTGGGGCCGAGGCAAAACAAGAGCATCTCATGGGGTACGATGGGATGCACTGTATCATTTAAGGACAGACAATCTACCTGTGGGTATCCGGAATATGTGAACTCATTTTTCAGATTGGGGTTAGCTTAAAACAGGGGATACATCTCCCTCCATTCCATACAACTGGATTTTTAGGGTCACTGGAATTTCCAACTCAGAATGCCTTTAAAACACTTCCCTTATCCTCTCAGGGGCAACAAATACTCAATTTGTTCTCCTGCCCTAAACCTTAAATTTCTCTTTCTGCAATCCTGACAAAATTCACCCAGATATTTCCGAATGAAATTCCAAATTATATAGCTTGCCGTCACAAAGCACAGACTATCCATAAAATCGTTTACACACGTTCACCGTATAAGACAAGTTCTGATACTAGGAAGCATATTGGTTGGTTATATAGCGAGAGTATACCCTTTAAAATATTAAGCTTAATTGCAATAAACGCGAGACCTTGCAAGCACACCGATGACGACTTCTGTCCAAAGCCCACGAGCTTAGAAGAATTTGACCCTTACTATTATTTAAAATGTCTGCTGCTCCCGACAGGCTACACAATATTCCTATCATACAGACTAATGCAAAATCTGACAATCACTAAAAATTTAACAGGTTCTGTTTCTCTGAACGTTAGACATAATTCCCTATGATGAATAAATAAAGAAAAGTAAACGAAACCAATGTAACTTCAATGAATCCTGTGCAAAACACAGCTCACCGATCCATTCTTGAAATTACTACCAGTAAATGCACGTAGCTGTGTTACTAAATGATCAGAGTCGAGCGATAAACAAACAAAAAAGCTGGAGGCGGATGATAATTTGCAGAGAAGGTACGGGTAGAAATGAAACTGAATACAAAAAGACAGATACATTCGTCTATGAAAATCATACACTGTTAAAAACTGTATTGCGTTTTCTGTAACATGTATCAGTAATTAACAGAGAGTCTTTGTAACGGATACACTTTGTGACCGTAAAGTGATTTTTTGTGTTACAACAGAACAACAGAACCCTTTGAAAAGCTTTGTAAATGTACACTTTTCCTCCGTAAAATGAATTGACATAACTTTGAATTTTGATTTTGGTGCACAAAACCACTTTCAAAAAGCTAGTTTCGCCATTTTTTTCGAGTTTCCTGTTATTGCAAGTAGCAGGTAATGTTTTGTGGCAAAAGAATGTTATTCTAAGTAATCTTGCGTGCAAAAACATAATTGCTGAAACAAATATGTTTTTACCTGCCATCCTGCCAACTGTGACTACATTAGAATGTAAAAGCGTTGCACATATAAGGAAGGTGCGTGCCATTACAGATTACTCTTGTAGCAACCATGATTGTACTGTGTCATCAGGTGAAGAAATAATATGTATAGACACATGAAATAAAAATTAAACGTGTCAATATCATTACTAACGAAAAGCGTAGGTAGGCTCCCTCAGCATTGTAAGCAGCCTCCTTCAACCTCCTCTACGATGCTTCCACAAATATAATTGTTTTGTCCGAAAACAACATCTTCGTAAATCCACAAATAAAAACCTGTTCATGTACAAAATGAGTCTCTGTACAATATATGACGTTCGTAATAACAATAAGATTCTATGTGAATGTACAGAAAAATTGCTAACAACGTAATTCGGATATATAAACGTACCAAAGGACAGCTTACTATTTATAATTTAAACTGGGCAACAGATGACGAGTATTATAGGGTATGTTCAACCTATTAACAGATTGTTAATTGATAATTAGGAATGGCACCGTATACGACAAAATGGTGGAAAAGTTATTGCAAGAACAAGATAGATATAACCGCTGCCGCTCGGTGTGAAATGAAATATCCTTTTTGAACCACTCACCTTATCCTGTCCCACCAAAAAGCCATTCCACCAACTGAAACTGAATTTACGTCCTATGCAGGAAAGCTGGAGTCTCAGTCCAACTTTTAAAATAATGTACTTTTCCAATGTTCAAATTTTCCATTTTTAGTGAACCACATTGTGATTGCACCTCGCGTAAAACACTACCACTGTAACAAGCTTCCGATCGACATGGCAGGTACGTTGTCCAGAAACGGCAATTATCACAATCAAAACACAGATAATTAGTTTTGGTAACATGCTGGTATCTATTCAGGAAGGACGAGAAGTTCAATCTGAGGTTTTGATGAACACGTTGTATCTATACGTGGTTCAGAATTGACTCGGCCGAATGGATGAGTAGATTTTATTATTCGAATTTTCATCCTCGACACATCCGTTGTGGGTTTGGGAAAGGTCATGGAGACTTATATTAAGAATTGCAAAGGTAAACGCAGTAACGTGGTATTCTGAAGTCTTTTGAAATTATTCAAAATAGACTTAAATACCATAATCCCCCAAAAGAGTGCAGCTGTCGATTTCACAAGACTTAACACTATGAATTAGCTCCTCTATAATGCTACAACATAATAGACTGTATAAGTAGCTCAACAAACACGAACACCTCCCTCTGCAGTAACTATGTGCGATTTAAAGAGCCACAATCAATAGCAATGTGAAGCAAGTTATGCACATGATACACACATCTTAGCTTCTTTGCTGTATGTTTTGATCATTGTGTATAAACTTAAGTGATTAATTATTCCTTTTGGAAGACGGAAATCCCAGTGCTTGATGACTCAACCGCACTGGTCTCTTCCTAAGTTTGATTTTATGCTAGAAACACGTCCCACTTTGCACTCACAAATACTGGACGGAGATATGCTGGGCGCACGAAATAGACAATGAAAGTCAGAAGTAGGCTGAACTATAACTCAGCACGCAGGTCTATAACGAAATGCTGGGAAAACTAACATATGGTGTTCTACAGATGGCAAAATTGCGTTGTGTCGTCCCGTCGCCCCGACGCGACGACACGACGACGCCACGACGACTGCGTCACTTCATGCCGTCGTTCGTGGCATCGCCTCCTTTCTCATTACTTTTATGCCGTGTTTAATGCACTGCGTCGTACCGTCGTGTTGTGCCCTTTAGCCGTTGCGTCATGCCGTCGCATCGTACTCCCGTCGTCGCCTCATTACCGGTGGAAATAGTGGGCGTCCTTAGAGACGGAGCTAAGTTCCATACCAACAGATACCATCACATGATCCGTCTTGAAGGACCTACGCTCGCACTTTTTTTCCATGACTTGTGACACACGCCCTCTATTGGCCGTGATAATCACCAGCCATTTTTGATAGCACGACTCAACGGCAAGACGACGCAACGCATTAAATACAACATAAATGTAATGAGAAGGAGGCAACGGCAATATGGGACGGAGCCGTCCTGGCGAGACGTCGTGGCGTCCGGGCGACGGTACGACGCGAAGCAGTTTTGTCGGCTCTAGAACACCATACTAACAGCATTCAGCATGAACACTTGCAAAGTTGGAACATGTTTGAACGAATTGGGTCTTGTTTGGGGACAAAAAATTTAACTAGATTAGAAAAAAAAAGGTTTTGGCAACAACCCTTTGGAACTGAAGAAATAGCAAGGATATTCATTACAAAAGCGGACGTGGTTTCATCAAATTTATGAAGTGAGGGTACTAAACAGTTTCAGGACTGGAAAAAGAATTCAATGCGCACTGGCAATAGACCATCACGTGCAGGCTATACTGTGACAGGGCTAGTTCATACCGGGCATACAGGCACAGATCCAGAGAAGGGGTTTGGGGTCTATACCCCCCCCCTCCGCCTGGGGGGGTTGAAAGAACCCAGAAAAAGGATATGTAGGGGTCTTATTTTCGTGTACGGGCTAACCAGAGAGATCAACTGCCAACGGCAACAAATACATGTATAGTAACAAAGAATTCCCAAAGCCCCAGCCAAAAAAAAATCTGGATCCGTCCCTGGCATGGTTAGACCAAATGTCATCAGGAAATCATAGTGCTAAATCTAAATCAACCCATGCGGTGCACGATCATACAACAGATTCCATCACAAACTTTTTTTATCACCAGTGTTTCGTCGGTCGTCTTGAACGTGATGGTGCGCCAGTCGTGAGGCCTGAGGTAGACTACTTTTCGTCTTTCGCATTATTCTTCAATCCATGTAAAAATCGCTTCGTAGAAAACAGCGCCCGCTAATTCCTCGTCTTGGACGAAATGTCATTTTAACGATGCCACCGGTGCCTTGCGCAGTGTGCACTGCATACCCAAGTAGCTTGTCTCCACGATGATTTGATCATTGGGGCTAGAGGAATCCAAACACCGTAAACCTGTTCCTGAGTGACTAGTCTCTCCGGCAGAGTGAGGGGTCCTTGACACGCTGCCCGAATGGGAAGTAGGGACTAAGTCGAGAGAGAGGGGAAAAGCCAATCACTATACAAGGTTATCTTTCCTCTCATCGCCTTCTCTCAATGCGTCACGGTAACTGGTTTAGGTCGACTGATCCATTCCATTCTCGGCTCATAGATTCTCCTTACATTCCAACCGAGAAGAAAGGGGTACACTTGCGGGGAAATTCTCACATATCAGCTTGCACCAAAGAGTTGTTGTCTGGAGGTTCATGCTTTAAGCATTCAAAATGTTCAAAATACTGTCAGTAATAACTACTGAACAGGTTAATCATCAAACAGTTGCTTTGGCCAATGTGGGTGTAACATAACACATTCTCATTTTCATACGAATGTATACTTTGAATCGTCCAAATAATAGTTGGAGTCTCGTTCGTTAATCTTATGTCATGCCCTCTGCGGTTCACAGATCTCTTTTAAATCCAAGTCAGCCTGATGCAGACAAGGTTGGACACATGACACATTAAACGCGCTTTTCGAGAGACACGTTTCAAGCTCGCATCGAGGTCTGTTTTTGTAAATTGTGTTGGTTCTCCATGAGAGAAACACAGCAAATGGAGGCTTATATGGAGCGGACCAACACGTTCATATGGAAAGGCCCCTTTAGATGGAAATGTCATCTCGAAGGTTAACTTCTTGACAAAAGTCTTTTTAAGTGAAACAAACTCCTCATTTTCCAAAACACCTTTAAACTGCATCGCCAACGGGACAAAGTTCATGGAACATGTATTGGATTTCAAGCAAAATCACAGAATTTCCCGAACATATTCCTCATGCATATGGCATTAATTGCTTGGCTTGGCAACTGTATGGCTTCAATTTGAAAGTAAATTCCGTTCGACAGGAAATCGAGTTGTTCACTGAGGGACTATTTGTACCTTCAGCTCTTCCTTGATCCTGGAACCATTAAGATTTAGGACAAATGAAATAACCCCAACGTTTGGCTCCATAATCGTATAGATGGGTGTTTCTGTAGTGAAACCAAAGAACCAAACAATGAATGAGTGGTGTAGTTTCTTTTAATTACTGTACGTCCTTGTTCATAACAGACGAGCTCTTTTGCTTAACGTTCGCAGTGCAAGTGTGCAAGTGCGCCATCGCACTTAGTGCACTGTGTCGATCCCAGGAGGCGTTCTCTCGTCCCCTGTGCCCTGGGATGGGTTTTGTGAAGAAACTACAGCTGTCACAAAGTCTCATAAGTAAATTATTTCTTTAATCAGCACAAGTATATTCTCTGAGCACGCATCATGAAGCAAACTGAGTCGTTGATCCGTGTTATTGTTCAAATAAACTCTTCAAGGATTCTAAGTAACTATGTTGTGCAACCCAAGTTATAGTAGCCAATCAAAGTGCCCTGTAAAAGCGACGGGAACAAATGGATCAGAGGTGCAGTTGCTGGGTTATAAAAGGCCTCGACTGTTCACGTCGGAATCCATACAGACATACGCCCAATGCAGAACGTTCTTGATTTGCAGTTTGCTGATTTTGATTTGCAAATGGCAAATTGTCTTTGTCATCAGAGATGAACGCGATGTTCTGGGTAACGTGAACGTTGACCCTGAACTCATCCACAACGAATTCCTCTGTGGGTTTTGACGTATTAAACCTCGGTCCAACCAGCCCACACACAGCCAGCTTCTAAAGACCGGTTATGTCGTCATGTCGCACCAACTTTTCCGCCTTGTTTCTATGAAATCCCCTTGATTTCCTAGTCCGCAGGGAGAAGAGACTCTGGCCTCCCATGGGCACACCTCATGTAGACAGTCTCGCTCTGTCTCTACTTCACAGCACCCTTATTAGTCTCAGAGTGATTCTCCTGTTTTCTCGCTCCATGTCACAATAATGCGTGGACCAACTCGAGTGGCTTCAATAGACGCCAGGGTGACTACTGTGTGCCCTGGATGTCTTTACTTGACTACATGTACATTGCGGAATGAAAGCTCTTCCATTTCTTTTGGCCATGCACATTGCTCACAAGATTCTCATAAGATAACATGAAGCCCTAAAAAATTTCTTTGTCCCTAAACGTATACAGCGAACTGACATGGAGGGGGAATTTTAATATTTCAGTAATGGTACAAGAATCGATGCAAAATTTTATCGAAAAGCAGAATGGCAGTGTTTAACAAACTCCCACATATGCACGGTATAATATCAGCGTTAACCATGGCAAAAATCTGTTGCATAAGCGTCTGTTCTATCGGCTAAGAGTAATGAGTACATTTAATTCGGCACTGATCATTGGTTGGTAGGGCTAGACTGGCGCACGAATCATCACAGTCTCCCCTAGCCCAGGTTGGACGACGTCTACATTGCATTGCAACTAACGTCCAGGGTATATATATAAAAGTCCTCCTACTATGCGGATTTTTTTCAACAGATTTTTCTCACATTTTACCTGACGAAGACAGCTCAAAATGTCGTTCACAAGTGCCTTTTATCCCGCAGACAACGTATTTTGCAGGAAATCTTGAGAAACTCCATGCTCTCCGTCGCGATCTGTTAACGATGTACATGTACATACACGTTCGTCTATAGCACGCGCACACGCACATGCGCGAAATGCATAGTAACAAAGTGCCCCTTACGCATGCGCGGAAGAGCCATGGGCGTAAGAGAAGTTGCGAGTAACGCCGTGTCCGAACGGGCTTCCAGAGATAGGTCTAGGTCTATAATCTGCGCGCCTCCACTCATTTCCAATGGAGCGAAGACCTAAGCCGTTTTCCAATACTCAACTTCGGCTCCGTCTTAGGCTTCAACTGTTTTTTAACTAGCTGCCTTTGAAGCTGTAAGCGCAGTAATTAGTCTA